CATTAATCGTAAGAGAAGTGTTTTCTTGTTAGATTATTTAATGCAGTAAACTCTTGTCTTCCTAATAACAGTTATCCAAAAGGAAAAAGGAAAAGGAAGAGGGAAGGGGGAAGGGGGAAGGGGGAAGGGGGAAGGGGGAAGAGGGAAGAGGGAAGAGGGAAGAGGGAAGAGGGAAGAGGGAAGAGGGAAGAGGGAAGAGGGAAGAGGGAAGAGGGAAGAGGGAAGAGGGAAGAGGGAAGAGGGAAGAGGGAAGTGTCCTCAGGTGGTTTTTTACCTTCTTCTGCAGCACTGAGCAATGGCCTGTTTTCAGGGCTTCTTTGGGCCATTTTGGCCAGGTACTGCTGCTCATGCTCCACGAAGTGACCTTTGTGGCCCACATCTTGGGGGAAGAAGCTTTCCAGACTTCCTAGGTGGGCCCCAAAAGTGGCTGTACCAGTCTACCCTGCCCGACTCTCAACACTGTTCTACATCAGTCCAGCTCAATTGTAAGGGATGACCAGGGATGGTGCTGTGCAGGGTTTAGAAAGAACTCTGTGGCAGCTCCCCAGGGCCCCCCCCAGCAAGTTCTGCCACTTGGCACCAGGGTAGTCTTCCGTGCATATGCTTGGGTCTCCAAGGGCATTATTCACCGTGGGGATGAGGCACCAGGGGGAGCCCATCATCAGTGCCAGCACTAGCTCTCTCTTCTGGGCCATAAACAATTCCTTATAGACTGTGTTTCCCAGAGAAAGGGGAACTAAGTCATGCCTATTTCTGCCTTTGTGGCTTTATGTGCTTTTTGGCTTTACCATTGTAGGTCCCTGGCTGAACCTCTGTGACTCCAGGGCTTCCACATCTGATGTCTACTGAAACAAAAGGGTCTTTTCTCTGTGTTTTATTTTCTCAATACTGGTCCTCTCTGAGAAGCTTTTGCAAGGTCACCATATCAAGAAATTGAAGACCGGTACATATGGAGAAATTTCCCCTGATGACATTTCTTCCCAGCTCTGGACTAGCAGAAGGCACTAAATACCCATAACCATCTCCCAGCCTAGGTCCTGGCTCTGTCACCTTGTGGAAAGGAGGTGTGTATCTTCTGAGAGGGGTCAGGGCTTTGGATCATCTCAAGATAAAGTGACCATCTGCACAAATTTGCAAAAGGCAAGTGTCATGTGTTTTTTTAAAACTCATCAGTGTTCAACTGAGACAGGTTTTCACAGGATGGCAAACCACCACATCACTGACAGCAGCGAGGCTCAGAGATCAAACCTTCAGTCTGGTGCAGGATGTGCTTCTCATCTAAATGGTTGCAAACCGTGTGGAGGTGAGCAACACCTGTTCATTTCCCCATGAATATTCTTTTTGCTCCTTGTACTAATTTTTAGAAATGTCTGGTCTGTCTTCTATGGAAGAACATGCTAAAGCACAAGAGCCTGAGGACAGCAGCACTCCCTCACAGGGAAAGTCCATCTGGCCCAATATTCTGTCTCCAAAGTGTCCAACACCAGTGTCTGAAGAAGAACACGGGAGCACTGAAGTTCGGTCCTGACGGGGTCCTGGTGGTGCTCACAGGTCTCAGTGGCTGGGACTGACCTGCCCTGGGACCCCCAGCCCCACCACCTCCTGCCAAGGGCCCAGGGGACATGGCCCAGCCCGGCCTGGGACCTCTGTCCCTGCCTGAGCCCTGCTGTGGGTGTGCCCATCTCTGCCCCTGTCTCCTGGGTGGGCCTGGGACCTGCACTGCAGAGCTGCTCTGGGGTGGAGCCCTCAGACCTGGGTCAGACCTTGCCATGCAGAGCTCTGGGTTTAACAGGGCCTGACTGCTCTGTTCTATTCTATTCGCTGCACTCACCAAGAGTCAAATAATGGTGAGACTATTATTATTATTATTGTTATTTGTGTGAAGTTCCAGGGAGTTTCTGATCCTAAAACACATTAAAGAACACATGACACACAGGTTAGAAAAGGAAATAGGATCTTATTTTAATTTTTGTTTGTCTGAATCAGTTTCAGAGCTGATGTTCACCATTACCACAATGTGTACACGTAGCCAGGAGCAGGCTGATAGGTTCTTCAGTTTAACTTGAAAAATCCTCTGTAGGATGGCAAAGGCAAGTGACAGAGTTATGGAATGTAGCAGCAGGGGTACAGGCCCAGTAGGTCCTGTTTCCTGAAGGTTGAGAACATGAAGAATGAGAATCTGAAGCAACAACACAAGAGGTGTGTACTATCTTGGGCATGTTCTAAAGTGTAACATATATCAATGACAAACACACTTTTTGCCTTCCTAGACTTGCTTCATTGCTGTGCTCCCAGGCCAAGAATGCCTGAAAAGAACTCTTGTGTCTGTCCTGTGCTTGCAGGCAGGAGAATTGAGAAGTGGCAGCTCTGGATGGATGCAAGAATCCCATGGGAAATGGAGCCAAGGGAAGAGCAGAGCTCAGCCCCACTCCAGGTTTGCAATGGGCAAGAGAGCCAGAGAGAGCCAGGGCACAAGTGGTGCCTTGGAGGTGTGAGGGCAGCAGGCAAGAATGGAGTCACAGGAGCCCAGAGGAGCCCTGACAGGGGCTGTTGCCAGTGCTACAGGAGGACAAGAAGCAACCCCCAGGCCACCCTTGGGACCCACCCTGGGAGTCTGGAAAGCTTCTTGCCCACAGCTGCAGGGTATGACAGACCATCTTCATGGGGCATGAGCAGCAGGCAGCAACCCAGCCAAAAGGGACTGAAGGAGCCCTGAACAGTGGTCATGCTCAGTGCTGCAGAGGAAAGCAAAACTCCCTAGGAACCAGTGCCAGTCTGCCCTGGGGGAAGATTCCTTCTTGACTGTTGGAACCCAAAATGTCCCTCAGACATTTTTAGAGGTTCCAGGCCTTGGTCAGAAGCATTTTAGACCCTGGCAAGCAGCTGAAAACAGCTGTGATTTTGAGTTTGAACCATGGAATGAATTACCAACTTTGAGGGTGGAACAAGCAGTCACAGAATGTTAGATGGTATAGTAAAAGTAGTCACAAATTAGAGGGTAAAATTTTTTAGTATTGTACAGGGGGGTTTTAGTACCTGTACAGGGGGGTTTTCACTTTGTACAGGGGGGTCAGGAGTTCTAAGATGGAGGAAAGTGGTCCTTATCTTATTCTTCCTCCTTCTTCTTCCTTACCTCCATGTTCTTCGTGATGTTGGCATTCACAGATCGGTTTAGAGTAGAAAAGCACATTGTAACGTAGATAGTAGGTATTGGGGAAAATCTATAAACATATAGTACGTAATATATCATATAAAAGATAGTAGCAGCTTTGGGCGGGGAGAGAGACGACGAAGACACCGGACAGTGAGGGTGTCAGGAGAGTGTGTACCTCTGCCTGGGCCGCAGACCAAAGCAGCCGCAGCGGGCGAGGACAATCTTTTAGATAGCTAGCAATAAACTACCTTGAGACTGGACAACAAGAGGCTGTGGAGTTTTTCTTTGGAAGCACGGGTTGGAGGAGAGACTTTACCACCACACGAGAGCCCCAAATCAATCCCGGGGTTCTCACACTTGACCCCAGTGCTACTGATTTGCCATCCTGAAAATGGACTCTGGAATTAATGGACCCAGCAGAAACACAAATCTTCTTAGACTAGAACCACATCCCATCCTGCTCCTTAACGAGAGACCGCTGGACAGGACAGCCCAGGGTCAGCCAGGCCAAGTGCCAATGGCACAAGAGATAGAGTCTCCAAGGAAGCTCAGGTAAGTCCCTGGTCCAAAGAGATGGATCACTGATTTTTTTACTCTTTCCCTCTCATAATAAACCAAAACTCTTCAAGGGATCTTTAAGAGATCCCGCCCTTAAAAATGACAACAGCCTGTGCACAGGGAGGGGCCAGGTGAGAGCTTGGTGCTGCCCTCAGCACTGAAGGGGGTCAGTGCAAGGAAAGAGACAAGAAAAAGCTCAGATCGACACACATCCATCTTCCTCCGACAGAGAACCCTGGATACTGGGCTCATTCATCAAAGCAGCATGAACTTGGCTTTTACACGTTTTACTTCACACTGAACATGAACTAAACTTCTGCTCAGTTGGCACTGGTTGAGGTTATGTATTTTGAAGGTTCAAGAAGGTAGGGATGATCCTATGATGTGCCTAGGGCTTTTTCACTAGAAGATATTCCTGAGAAGATGAGGCAGGAAAACTCCTCAAAAATTCCCTTCTCTACCAGGCTGGTTTCGAGCTATAACTCACTTGATCACTTCCCGTAGTTTTAGTAAAAGATCCTAAGGAGAAAGAAAATGTCCAGCTGCAAGCCTGGCTGGAGTGATTTACAGCTCTCTGAAATCTGCAGGCAAAGCAGCTTGGGAAGCACAGCAAGAACAGGCAGACCTGCCCTTGCTTGGGTGGCCCAGTCTGTGGCAAGCCCTACCACAAAGGAGAGAGATTAAAACTCAGTGAAGTATAGTTTTTCTCCACATTTCTGACTGGTTTGCACAAAATTGTGCTTGTTGCTTACTTTTCAGCTATCTATCCATTTTTAACTTTATTTTTGAATGGGATGAGAGCAACAGAGAGTTTTACTGGTCACTGAGCTAATGACCACCCAAGCAAGGGCAGAGATTGGCATGACATATAAGGATGTGCTTACCTCCCTGAGTGGTGCAGGCAAGCAGCATCGAGAATAAAGAATATGGGCTGTCACATCACCAGATTTAAATAGGCCAGCCCATGTGCCTGACGTACATAGCACCCTCCCATCACTAAAATGCAAAACTAGCAGGTAACATGCTTCTAAAGGAGAAGTGCTTGAACTAATGACTTGAAACAGTTGTAAAAGTCAGAGGCACAAACAAATGATGGTACAGCATGCCCCACATACCCCATTTTTTCTCCTGATGCCATGTACCTGCAGGGGAGAAAGACATGCTAGGGCAGATTTGGAAGGCAGTCAAGGTTGCCAGTACAGAAGAGCGGACCATGACATCAGCAGTCCCCACACTCCATGGTTGGCAACCTAAGGGAGCAATGCACTGTGACCTCATATCCCTCACTGCTTATGTTTGGGCACGGGCAGTGTCTGCTTCAGACTCACTCGTGTCTGGACTCCTGGCAAGCGTGCCTGGGAGGACTGGAAGCCTGTGAGGCCATTGGGAGCTGCTGTCCAGCAACTCTCAGTTCTCATGCACAAAACATTGACCGTTTCCTTAGCCCTATCCGGTTCAGGAAGCTAAGTACTGTGGCTGGTGCTTGCAGCAGCACAGGTGAGTGGTGCAGGAAATGTGCTTCCATAGGGTGGCCCTGGGGTGGGTGATGGTGTCTGGGGAGCTGTGAGTGTGTCCTTCTTGAGGGGCTTGGGCATTTCTTCTACCTGCCCATTTCCCTGGGACAGCAAGTGACCATTTTTCAGAGTGTCACGCCAACAAAGAAGGAGCAGCTGCTGTCCCCAGCTCTGCTACAACGCAAGCATGGCCACAGAGTGGAACTGCCCCATCTGCCGTGACATTCCAGCTGAAATCGCTACTGTAACACCCTGCGTCCACCTGTTCTGCCTGGGCTGCATTGTGCGTTGGGCCAAGAGGCAACCATCGTGCCCGCTGTGCAGGCAGGCTATCAGCAGCATAATTTACTCTGTTCGGTCCGACGAAGACTTTCTGGAGATGGTTCTTCCAAGGCCCTCAGAGTCAGCGGCTGCTCAGCAGCAGGATGAGCAGGAGGCTGCGGAGCCAATGCCCAGGGCTTACGTAGCTGGCTTCCCACCTCAGGTCTGGGCAAATTTTTTCCAGGACCACTCAGAAATCCTCGAGCCCCTGCTGCCCTGGCTGAACCAGGAGCTATCAGAGCTGCTCAGCACCCGCTGGTGGGAGGTGGCTCTGGCACAGAGTATCGTTGTAGCCAGTTTGTGCCGCTATGGGCTGAGTGAGGAGGCCTTGGTCCGGGAGCTGAACCCTCTGCTGCAGGGGCGGACGGCGGCATTTGTGCAGCGGCTCATCAACGCTGCCGCTGACAGGTGCCGTGATGAGGTCCTGCGGCAGATAAACCTCCTCAACCCCCAGGCTGAGGAGGAGGAGGAGGAGCAGGAGGAGGAGGAGGGTCCCACAGCCATCACTGAGCCCTCTGCATCCCCCCAGGGGACTCCCACTCCCAGCCCGGCCTCCTCCAGCAGCTCCGCAGTCTCCAAGGCGCAGGCGGACGTCGGAACGTCGGCAGCCGAGCTCCGCGGGGCCCCCGGGCGCTCTCCCTCCGCGCCCGTCCCTGCGGAGCGGGAGCAGCCCCCGGAGGAGCCCGGCAGCGCGGCAGCAGCAGTGCCCGGCCCCTCTGCCAGGGCCTGCAGCCCCTCCGCTCCTGGCCCCGACAGGGACGGCTCGCCCGCGGGGCCCCGGCGCCCAGCAAAGAGGAGGGCCTCTGGCCCTCAGGACCCTCCCCAGCTCCCCAAGAGGCCGTCCCGCCGGCGGCGGCGCAAGCCAAGATCCGTTGATCGTAGAAGGAGGAAATAAATAGTTAGTTGTTTGTTTGTTTGTTTGTTTGAACACAGTCTCTGAGGGTTACTTTGTCCCTCTTCTCCTGGTGTCTTTTCCCTCTCCCCTCACATCCCCCTGTGCATGGCAACTGCCTGCTTTTGGGCGTTGGGGGACGGCCATGGGCCTCTGGAGCCGCCAGACCATATCCGCGGCATCTTCTCCTGCGACAAATCCCGCTGCAGCTGCGGGCGAGCGGGCAGCAGGGACAGCTGGTTTATCAGAACTATGGCCTCCGCCTGCACCCAGTTCTCCTCCCTGCCCACCTCCTGCCACCTTCTGCTCTGCTTTCTCGACGTCAGGCACGGCACCCTCGCTCCTCGGAAGGCTGCCAGGGAGGCACAGAAAAGGAGCGTGGACACCGGAGCTAGAGAGGGAAGGGAAGGGAAGGGAAGGGAAGGGAAGGGAAGGGAAGGGAAGGGAAGGGAAGGGAAGGGAAGGGAAGGGAAGGGAAGGGAAGGGAAGGGAAGGGAAGGGAAGGGAAGGGAAGGGAAGGGAAGGGAAGGGAAGGGAAGGGAAGGGAAGGGAAGGGAAGGGGAGATGGCTGAGCAGAGGTGCTGGCAATGCAGAGATCTACAATATGAGGAGCTGCCCAGGGATCTCAAGGCCTTATCTCCTGGAGAGCACTGGCAAGACCAAGAGGATCCCTTCAGGAGGACCACTGCAGAGCTCTCTGTTCCCATGCCCTGCAGAGATGGGGCAGCAGCTGTAAGATATAGGGTGCAGAGATGTCGCAAGGGATTCCAGTGCTTTGGAGCACCCACTGGTGTCCTGCCAGACACAGAAAGGAATGTTACCTCCAAGGCATGTGGCTACTCTCACAAGCCTCTGAGATGTTGAGTCAGAATCTGTCTTGGACATCTCCTGAGTGGTTTGCCACCCTAGGTGAATGGGAGATGAAAGGTCTCATTCAAGTGCTCAGGGAATAGCTGGTCGCCAGCATTGAGGTCAGGAAGGAATTTTCTCCTGGGACAGATTGATAATGGTACCAGAGGTTATTTTACCTTCCTCTGCTGTGGAGGTAAACAGTGCATGAGCATGCTTAGGCCTGAGCATGACCACTGCTTAGGGCTTCCTCAGTCTCTTTTGGCTGGGTTGCTGCCTGCTGCTCATGCCCCATGAAGATGGCCTCTCATGCCCTGCAGTTTGAGAGAGAATGGCTTCTTTTTTTTCCCCCATGCTGGATTATCAAGTGTCCTCAGGTGGTTTTTTACCTTCTTCTGCAGCACTGAGCAATGGCCTGTTTTCAGGGCTTCTTTGGGCCATTTTGGCCAGGTACTGCTGCTCATGCTCCACGAAGTGACCTTTGTGGCCCACATCTTGGGGGAAGAAGCTTTCCAGACTTCCTAGGTGGGCCCCAAAAGTGGCTGTACCAGTCTACCCTGCCCAACTCTCAACACTGTTCTGCATCAGTCCAGCTCAATTGTAAGGGATGACCAGGGATGGTGCTGTGCAGGGTTTAGAAAGAACTCTGTGGCAGCTCCCCAGGGCCCCCCCCAGCAAGTTCTGCCACTTGGCACTAGGGCAGTCTTCCGTGCATATGCTTGGGTCTCCAAGGGCATTATTCACCGTGGGGATGAGGCACCAGGGGGAGCCCATCATCAGTGCCAGCACTAGCTCTCTCTTCTGGGCCATAAACAATTCCTTACAGACTGTGTTTCCCAGAGAAAGGGGAACCAAGTCGTGCCTATTTCTGCCTTTGTGGCTTTATGTGCTTTTTGGCTTTACCATTGTAGGTCCCTGGCTGAACCTCTGTGACTCCAGGGCTTCCACATCTGATGTCTACTGAAACAAAAGGGTCTTTTCTCTGTGTTTTATTTTCTCAATACTGGTCCTCTCTGAGAAGCTTTTGCAAGGTCACCATATCAAGAAATTGAAGACCGGTACATATGGAGAAATTTCCCCTGATGACATTTCTTCCCAGCTCTGGACTAGCAGAAGGCACTAAATACCCATAACCATCTCCCAGCCTAGGTCCTGGCTCTGTCACCTTGTGGAAAGGAGGTGTGTATCTTCTGAGAGGGGTCAGGGCTTTGGATCATCTCAAGATAAAGTGACCATCTGCACAAATTTGCAAAAGGCAAGTGTCATGTGTTTTTTTAAAACTCATCAGTGTTCAACTGAGACAGGTTTTCACAGGATGGCAAACCACCACATCACTGACAGCAGCGAGGCTCAGAGATCAAACCTTCAGTCTGGTGCAGGATGTGCTTCTCATCTAAATGGTTGCAAACCGTGTGGAGGTGAGCAACACCTGTTCATTTCCCCATGAATATTCTTTTTTGCTCCTTGTGCTAATTTTTAGAAATGTCTGGTCTGTCTTCTATGGAAGAACATGCTAAAGCACAAGAGCCTGAGGACAGCAGCACTCCCTCACAGGGAAAGTCCATCTGGCCCAATATTCTGTCTCCAAAGTGTCCAACACCAGTGTCTGAAGAAGAAAACGTGAGCACTGAAATTCCGTCCTGACGGGGTCCTGGTGGTGCTCACAGGTCTCAGTGGCTGGGACTGACCTGCCCTGGGACCCCCAGCCCCACCACCTCCTGCCAAGGGCCCAGGGGACATGGCCCAGCCCGGCCTGGGACCTCTGTCCCTGCCTGAGCCCTGCTGTGGGTGTGCCCATCTCTGCCCCTGTCTCCTGGGTGGGCCTGGGACCTGCACTGCAGAGCTGCTCTGGGGTGGAGCCCTCAGACCTGGGTCAGACCTTGCCATGCAGAGCTCTGGGTTTAACAGGGCCTGACTGCTCTGTTCTATTCTATTCACTGCACTCACCAAGAGTCAAAAAATGGTGAGACTATTATTGTTATTATTGTTATTTGTGTGAAGTTCCAGGGAGTTTCTGATCCTAAAACACATTAAAGAACACATGACACACAGGTTAGAAAAGGAAATAGGATCTTATTTTAATTTTTGTTTGTCTGAATCAGTTTCAGAGCTGATGTTCACCATTACCACAATGTGTACACGTAGCCAGGAGCAGGCTGATAGGTTCTTCAGTTTAACTTGAAAAATCCTCTGTAGGATGGCAAAGGCAAGTGACAGAGTTATGGAATGTAGCAGCAGGGGTACAGGCCCAGTAGGTCCTGTTTCCTGAAGGTTGAGAACATGAAGAATGAGAATCTGAAGCAACAACACAAGAGGTGTGTACTATCTTGGGCATGTTCTAAAGTGTAACATATATCAATGACAAACACACTTTTTGCCTTCCTAGACTTGCTTCATTGCTGTGCTCCCAGGCCAAGAATGCCTGAAAAGAACTCTTGTGTCTGTCCTGTGCTTGCAGGCAGGAGAATTGAGAAGTGGCAGCTCTGGATGGATGCAAGAATCCCATGGGAAATGGAGCCAAGGGAAGAGCAGAGCTCAGCCCCACTCCAGGTTTGCAATGGGCAAGAGAGACAGAGAGAGCCAGGGCACAAGTGGTGCCTTGGAGGTGTGAGGGCAGCAGGCAAGAATGGAGTCACAGGAGCCCAGAGGAGCCCTGACAGGGGCTGTTGCCAGTGCTACAGGAGGACAAGAAGCAACCCCCAGGCCACCCTTGGGACCCACCCTGGGAGTCTGGAAAGCTTCTTGCCCACAGCTGCAGGGTATGACAGACCATCTTCATGGGGCATGAGCAGCAGGCAGCAACCCAGCCAAAAGGGACTGAAGGAGCCCTGAACAGTGGTCATGCTCAGTGCTGCAGAGGAAAGCAAAACTCCCTAGGAACCAGTGCCAGACTGCCCTGGGGGAAGATTCCTTCTTGACCCCAGTGCTACTGATTTGCCATCCTGAAAATGGACTCTGGAATTAATGGACCCAGCAGGAACACAAATCTCCTTAGACTAGAACCACATCCCATCCTGCTCCTTAACGAGAGACCGCTGGACAGGACAGCCCAGGGTCAGCCAGGCCAAGTGCCAATGGCACAAGAGATAGAGTCTCCAAGGAAGCTCAGGTAAGTCCCTGGTCCAAAGAGATGGATCACTGATTTTTTTACTCTTTCCCTCTCATAATAAACCAAAACTCTTCAAGGGATCTTTAAGAGATCCTGCCCTTAAAAATGACAACAGCCTGTGCACAGGGAGGGGCCAGGTGAGAGCTGGGTGCTGCCCTCAGCACTGAAGGGGGTCAGTGCAAGGAAAGAGCCAAGAAAAAGCTCAGATCGACACACATCCATCTTCCTCCGACAGAGAACCCTGGATACTGGGCTCATTCATCAAAGCAGCATGAACTTGGCTTTTAGACGTTTTACTTCACACTGAACATGAACTAAACTTCTGCTCAGTTGGCACTGGTTGAGGTTATGTATTTTGAAGGTTCAAGAAGGTAGGGATGATCCTATGATGTGCCTAGGGCTTTTTCACTAGAAGATATTCCTGAGAAGATGAAGCAGGAAAACTCCTCAAAAATTCCCTTCTCTACCAGGCTGGTTTCGAGCTATAACTCACTTGATCACTTCCCATAGTTTTAGTAAAAGATCCTAAGGAGAAAGAAAATGTCCAGCTGCAAGCCTGGCTGGAGTGATTTACAGCTCTCTGAAATCTGCAGGCAAAGCAGCTTGGGAAGCACAGCAAGAACAGGCAGACCTGCCCTTGCTTGGGTGGTCTAGTCTGTGGCAAGCCCTACCACAAAGGAGAGAGATTAAAACTCAGTGAAGTATAGTTTTTCTCCACATTTCTGACTGGTTTGCACAAAATTGTGCTTGTTGCTTACTTTTCAGCTATCTATCCATTTTTAACTTTATTTTTGAATGGGGTGAGAGCAACAGAGAGTTTTACTGGTCACTGAGCTAATGACCACACCATTGTGCCTCTCAACAGCAATCCCATGGGGCTGTAGAGAAGAAAAAAAGCTGAATTTAAAAACAACCTGGCAAGTTTCTGCAGAGATTGGCATGACATATAAGGATGTGCTTACCTCCCTGAGTGGTGCAGGCAAGCAGCATGGAGAATAAAGAATATGGGCTGTCACATCACCAGATTTAAACAGGCCAGCCCATGTGCCTGACGTACATAGCACCCTCCCAT